CTGAGAGACAGGTCAAGCAGCTGCAATGCTCAGAACTTCTTTGGATCCTGATTCACACAAACAAACTCCAAGAACATATTCATGAGATCATTAGACTTTTGCAAAGGGGCTAGATATTTGATGAAATCCAGAAATTGTTATGAATTGTATTAGGTGTCATAATAGTGTGTGGGAATGCTTTCTTTAAAGTCCTTTTCTCTTAGAGGTACATTCCTAAACATTTATGGATGATAGCATGGGTGTCTGGAAAGCAAGGAAACGGAGTAGAGGCAGATGATACAAAACAGGCCCGAGTCCACAACTGCCAGGGCTGGGTGATGGGTACGTGGTTTGTTTTACTCCTTGCTAGTTAGTATTCATTCTACTTCAGTCCATGTGTGACATTTTCCATGATAAATAAATAAATGCTAGCAGGTCAGCTCCCACTGAGTCTCCCAGGAGGAGCAGAAATGGATGGTGGGGGCCCTGGGGAGGGCTGTTACCTTTCGGACAAGATGAAATTTCCATCTTTGAGGCTGGGCAGCTTCCTCAGAGGGTTGATCTCGATGTATTCCCTGCTGTGGTGGTGGCCTGAGAGGGGCAGGAAAGGTCTGAGGCTGTTGGGATCCCAGGGAGGAGAGACCTGGGATTCCCAGAGACGGAAATGCCTTCCTCTCTATTTTCTTAACAAGGGGGAACTGAGGCCTTGAGAAACGCTGTGATGCACATCAGGTCACAGGGCAAGTCAGTAGCAGAATGGAGACCAGGATCAAGTCTCCTGCCTCCCAGCCTGCCCATACCCCAGGCTTGGGGACCCCCGTGGCCTCCTGATTGTGCCCTGGGACCAGGACAACACTTTGGCTCACAGAAGCAGAGGCCACCAACCCCCACACCCAGTGCTGGGCCTGAAGCCACAGCCTGTGAGTCAACCGAAGCCCTAGGGGCCTCAGTCCCACCCCTGCTGTTGGCTCCCACTCTGTCTCCCCTTTAAGGGGAGCAGGGCAGATGTGGCAGGCAGGACAGGGTGGGGCCCAGCACACAGCTGGAAGGAGAGCCTCTCAAATGCAGTCAGGGTCATCTGAACAGGGAACCCGACACAGGGGGCAGGAGTTGAAACTCTTGCTTGACCAGCTGCCTCTGGTTGGAAATATTTCCAGGGCCTCCGCTACACCCTGTTTATTTCTGCAGCTCCCATGTCTCCTCCTCTACATTCTAGGGGCTTCTGCTTCTGTGAGCTAAGCTTTTAGAGCCTTCTCTGTGCTTGGAGTGGGATTGGAGCCAGATCTCCTGAACCTTGCACGGGATCTGTTTATCCTGAGCAGGTTTGAGCACCGGTGAGGATGGGTGTGGACTGAGCAGCACCTGGACTCTTTGATGTGGAATGACTGTACTTCTGTGACATGTGCCAACCTAGTGGGCAGGTGCTACAGATAACTAGATGCTTAGACACCACCAGGAGAAGGTGAGGCCCCTGGGTGGGAGCCCAGGGACTCCTTAGGAGACCTTCCTTCCCTTTTACCCTAGAAGAAGCTGCTCATCTCTGCATGGGGACAGTCATTAGTGGCAACTAAGGTAGACTAGACAGGGACACAGCCTACAAATCTCTTGGTACCTTTTCTTCCCCTGCAGACCCTTGTGGGGGTCACCTTGGTCTCTGTCTCTGCTCCTCCAAAATGCCCCCACCTGAGTGCCCTGTCTCCCCGGGGCCAGGCCTGCTGGGCAGCAATGGGGGCTGACCTTTCAGCAGATCCACAAACTGGAAGTCGAAGGGGATGCCGTTCTTCCTGGCGAAGATGTAGACAGCGCGGCAGGGTGCCGACAGCAGGTCCATGTAGAGCTCCAGGACCATGCTGAGACTCGTGCCTGGCCCCACAGCCACAGCTGGCCAGCCTTGGACATGAGCTGACATCCGCCCCGAGGCCCTGGCCCTCAGCCCTCTCTGCCCCAGGCCCAGGACTCTGTGTTCTGGAACTTATTTCCCTGAGTGTTGTCATGAAGCCAGGAAGCCCAGAATTCTCACAGCAGCAAGGATTCTGAGGAGGACCAGGAACGGGCTGGGGGCAGGCCCATGGCAAAGGGTTGGGGGGATGGGGACTGCGACCCTGCCTTTCCCCTCCCACTTGCACCTGTGCCCTGTGGCACCGCCTCACAGACACCCTGTCTGAGAAGGGCTTATGCATTGGAATTCACTGTGGGACAGGACAGAAGGGGCTTTGCAGGGCCCAGAGAGAGGATAAAGTGATGAGAACAAACTCTGGAGGGTCCCAGAAGCAGGTACTGGGGGTATCCACAGGTAAATCTAGCCTCAAATGTGGCTAGGAAAGGACTGGGAGAAAGAGACACAGGAGCCTGGGGAGCCATCAGGGAGCACTGGGGACAACACCAGAGGGGAGTCAGTGGGTGGCCGGCCAGTCTGTGCCATGCAGAGGAGCCCAGAAGCTTCCAAGCCTGGAAGCCAGAAGCTTCCAGAACTGCAGTGGCCAGACTGTGCACCTGGTGAATGAGGAAGGTAAGTAGAGACCTGTGGGGAGGACTGAGTGCTACTCCATGCTGTGTGATCCTGACAGATTCCCTGTCCTTTTAGGCCTCAGCTCAGAAATGGGGCAGACCCACTTCCTGGGGACAGAGTGAGGCTGGAGACAAGTGGAAGGGACACAATGTGTTTATTGCAGACAGCAGAGTACAGATGAGCCAGCTGCACCCACTCAGTGGAGCTGTTCCTGCAGCTGCTACACCAGCTTCTGGGCCAGCTGGGGGTCCTGCAGGGCCTCACAGGTGTCCCAAGGCTGGAGTACAAGGTTGTGGGCCTCCTGGACAAGCTTGGAACCCAGGGCAGCTTGTACGTGTGTCTGCTCTGTTGGCAGCTGGGGCCAGTCTTCAAAGAGGTCACAGCTGATGGCAGTGGGCTGGGGAGGCAGGGCAGCTGTGGTGGAGGCTATGGCCTGTGCCTAGAGTCCCCCCAGAAGGAGGGCAGGTGGGAGAGCCTCACCTGCATCAGCTCTGAGAGTGCCATCAGTTCTGCCGGGGAAACCTGCTCAGTTGCCAGGAAGGGCCTGGCTGCCAGGACCTCCCCATCCAGGTGTTGTGGGGCTGGCGTCAGCCTTCCCAACAGCCCTTCCTGCTGTGCAGCATCCACAGGCTGCTTTGAAAAGTGGGGCAGGAGAGACTGGGCCAAGAGGAGAAGGGGAAGCTTATCCTGGGCCCTTCCAAGCCTCTTCATCCTCCTTTCCACCTGCCATCAATTAGTGATGCCCCCTCGGGCTCTGTGTTCAGAAGGATTCTGAGGATTCACTCAGGCTCAGGAAAGAGTGCCGTGATGGATTAGCCATGTCTGCCTAGGGCAATGGAAGGGAGGTGGTGTATGTACTAACTGGTACCTTCCAGCTCTGGGGGTCCTGGCTCCTGCCCAAGCCTGCATGATTGGGCCAAGGAGGCTCACCTTGTGACAGGTAGATGTTGGTGGCAGGCAGCTGGGTGGTAACATGCTGCCACACCAAATACTCATCAACAAGGCCTACAGCTCAGGCACATACCAGTGTGCCTCTGTCTGGTACTTTTGGCTCAGGAATTAAAGGATGGCCAGGCTGCAAGCAGGGGGCATCAGAGATCTTCTCCCCACCCCACCAGGGCTGGGTGGCTCCATCACTCATACCCAGGGTGATCTGACAAGGTTTCTCCCCAACTCCACCTCCATGGGAGGACCTTCCCCCACTCCTCAAGGCAGCATCTCCCCGTGAGTTTCTCTATAGCCAGCTCTGGGCCCACGTTTCAGCCTCCCCTCCCAGCTACTACTCCAGCCTGCCCTCTGAGCCCAGGCCCCACTGCCTGGCATCAGAGTCCCCACTCAGCACATGCAAGGCTGCCCTGCCATGTGTGCTCTGCCCAAGGCATTTCCAAGTTCCCTTCCGAGTGCCCCAGGGCCTCGAGGAGGGACTCAGAGAGTCCCCTTTCTTGATGCCCCTTGGATCCCTAGCACTTGTAGCCCATTTTCCGTCCTCGGGCAAGCCCTGAGAGGTGGTTACACTATTACTCCATGTTACAGAGGAGCAACCTGGGCACAAAGCTCTGTGACCTGCCCAAGGACACAGAGCAAGGAATTGGGAAGCTGCGGTTCAAAGTGGAATCTGACCTGGGATGTGTCGGGGACATTTGGAGAGGGGTTAACCTCAAGCCTGGGCCCTGCCTGTTGGCTCCAGGTTGTCCAGGCCTGGCTGGGTGACCTATTCCCCTTCCCCACCCTGGCAGCTCCAGCCAGCTTGGGCTTCAGCCAGGTTCCAGCCTTCCAACTTTAGCCCTAAGTGGTCCCTAGACCCAGACTGTGCCTCTGGGCTGGGAGGGCAGAAATAGGAAGGATTGCTAAGACACGGGTGGTCAGCTTTCTCTCTACTCCCTCCACCTCCACCCCCAACCCTGAGCCCCAGGACCCAGGCAGAGCTTGGCTCTGACCCTGGGTTGGCAGCAGGTCACCATTACCTCTCAGCCAGCAGGTAGTCTCCATCCCTGAAGGCAGGCACCTTCCCCAGGGGGTTCACTTTCAGGAACTTGGGCTTCAGGTGCTCCCCTGGTGGGCGGAGAGGAGGGGAGGTTCAGCCCAGGGTCTGGCCCCTCTGTGCCCTCTGTGCCCTCTACACCTGGGGCCCAGCCCAGCCACCTGGCTCACCCTTGTCAGCTCCATTGGCCATAGCTCAAAGGGGATGCCTTTCTTCCTGGCAAAAATGTAGATGGGGTGGCAGGGGGGAGAGTACAGATCCAGGAACAGCTCCAGCCCCATCGCTGTGCCTCCCGCCTGCCCTCCACTCAGGTTTGCCTCCAAGAGTTGCTCGGCCACTCCCCCGCAAATGGTGCCAGAGCTCTGCACCCCTCCCTGAAGCCTACTTCCTCCTCCACTGGCTGGGCGACTAGCCCAGCAGCCACCCCTCCCTGGCCTCTGTGAGTGGAGGTGGGGGGGTATGGGAAGGGGCGTTGGTTGTGCTCGTGTGATCATTGGTTTTCCAAAAGCAAGGTCCCCAGCCTGCCCCTCCTCTTCCTCCACAGGGTGTTGCAATCCCCAGGACGCTCCCACCTCCCCTCCCCACTCAGCAGGGCCCAACACTCCTCCCAGAGCCCGCATCTCCACAGCAGCTTTCACAGTTCTCCAGGCTGAGGACGGCTGCCTGCCGTGAGCCTGGCGGCAGGGACACACTTCCAGGGTTTAATGCTTCCTGTGTCTTCTCTCCCGCTGCACCTGTGATGCACACACACACGCACACACACACACACAACACAGTCACACAATTTACTCACATTCACATAAATATACACTCACGTACACTCATGCATACACAATTCACTCAAATTCATATACATATACACACACACAACCACACACTCACACACAACTCACACACACACACACACACACACACACACTCTCTCTCTCACTCACACGGCCTTCCCAGCCCAGGCCCCTCCTCTATCCAGACTAACAGTGGGTCCTCATGTCTTAAAGGCCCCTCCGTCTCTCCTGCTCCTCCTCCAGGGCTCCCACTTCAGGTGCAGCATCCCAGCCCCTGGGGTTCAGGCCAGACCACTGGGAGTCTTTGCTTTTCCTCACCCCCACCTGTTCCCCTCCATTGCCAAGTGCTGTCATTCCACCTCCTGCCTTTCCCATCCCCTACCTGACCTCTCTTGGATGGCCTGGCTGCTGGCTTCCACACCAGCCTCCTGGTCTCTACTCCGGGCCCCACTCTAAGCCCAACACTCTGGGCCCTGGGTCCTGTTTCCACACAGCACCAGAAAGGGTTTCTTTCTTTTTTTTTTTTAAAGATGACCGGTAAGGGGATCTTAACCCTTGACTTGGTGTTGTCAGCACCACGCTCACCCAGTGAGCAAACCGGCCATCCCTATATGGAATCTGAACCCGTGGCCTTAGTGTTATCAGCACCACGCTCTACCGAGTGAGCCACGGGCCGGCCCCAGAAAGGGTTTCTAAAGTTCAAATCTGATGCCTCGCTCCCCTGTGCAACACCCTCCCATGGTTGAGAGTGCTCAGCCCTGCGGGCATTCCCCCTCCCCCGTCTAGGTGACAGGATTTTGGGGGGACATGCCCTTGGCAACATACATACTCAAAAGCCATGTGGCTTGTATGGGGCTGACCCCACCCCTGGTCGCAGGCACAGCACATGCTTCCACCTGGCCAGTGAAGACCCTGCACCCCTTGGCCTGGATCAAGTAGGGCCATTGTGAGCAAGTCCAGGGACTATGGCTGCCAATTCTGAAAAGGAAGAGCTGGGGTACAGGCATAAGGCTAGCCCCTGGTAAGGCCATCGGCCCTGTCCAAGGAGAGGTTCTGGGAGCCACTGGGCTGCAGAGAGAGCATGACCAGCACAGACCTTTCCCCACCGGAGAGGAAGGCCAGGGCCAGGCAGCCCCCAGGCGCCAGGACTGTCCCAGAGTCGGCTGTCGCGGAGCCCAGGCAGACAGGGAGTAGAGGCTGGCAAGCCCAGAGCAGGTTGTCGCATAGCAAGGCCTGTGGGTGGAAAGTTGAGCCCAGGTCTGTCATGCCCAGAGGCAGCAGGGATCCCTGGGCCTGCTGCCCTTGGGCCCGACAGCCCCACCCTGTGCAGGCAGGCCCCCATCCAGATTTGCCATCTTGGATTTGGGGCCACAGCCGTGCAGTGAGGGAGAGGACTGAGAGAGGAGAGGGATAGACAGAGAGTAACAAGAAAGCAAGATGGGGAAACAGAGAGGGAGAAGGGCAGAGGGTCACCTGTTCATTCATTCATTCAACAGAGAATGAGACTCAGAGCCAGAAAAAATCAGCAGAGGGACAAGGACAGGTGACAAGAGCGAGGTCGTTATTGCCTCTCCTAGCCCTTCAAGCAGGACCTACTGCTGTCACTCTGGCAGGGGTGCTGACTGCCAGCCCCAGGACACTCAGGATAGGGCCAGAGGCCTCCTGGCACAGCCCTGCACCCAGGAAAGACTCCACTCGCTCATGCCATGTCCCCAGCCACAGCTGCCCCCCAACACATTGCCGCTGAGAACTGTAGGCTGCGGGGACACAGAGGTTCTGGTGCGGGGGCCTCAATTCCAGGGACATCAACACAGCAGGCAGGGACAGTCACATCACTTGACACTTTCCTGAGGCCCAGGGCAGGGTGACAGTCACAGAATCTGAGAGAAGCCAGGGAGGGATCCCACCACTCCGTGCCAGAGGCAGGCAAGAGGCAGGGGGTGTCGCTGTCTGTCACACAGAGGTGACACCCAGCATCCTCAAGTAGGGTCATTGGAAGGAGGCTGCCAGGCTGTTCTGAGCCCACACCTGCAGCAGCAGCAGCAGCAGTTCCTTCAGCACCTTGAGGCAGGCCACGGCCCCCTGGTGGCCTGCAAGGAAAACCAGGAACTCATCTGTTCCATTCTGGCACCTGATCAATGGCGGTCTGCCTACCTTCTCCTTGGGCACAGCCAGCACCTGTCGGGGGGTGGTGGAGGGTGGGCTCAATATGTGACCCTCCCCAGGGCACCTTGGCTCTGCCAATACCCTGTTGTGCCTTCTCCCCTCGTTGCCTTTCTCAACTGGGTCCACACAGGCCAAAGGTGCTCTGGACACAGTCAACGTGCCAGCTCGGGTACTCACTCACACAAGCGCAGGCCTGTGGGTGGGATGGTACCAGGGGGGGCCGCCGTCTGGTATTTGCAGCTCAGGTGACCAGGGCAGGGGAAGTGGCCTTGAGGACCCTCATACTGCAGCCTCTCCCTCCTCTCTCAGAAGCTTGCAGACCTCTGGCAGAAGAGGTCTCTGCCATTTGATAGATTCCTCCTTGTCCCCTTCTCTGCCTAGCTCTCCCCACCCTGACCCACTGTCCAGTGGTCAGGCCATGTCACTGACCAACACAAATGCCGGCAGTTCCCCGTTGTCTGGAGACTAACACCCCTCCTCAGCATGGTTCAACAGTCCATCCTCATCTTGCTGCGACGACCTTCCCAGCCTCACCTCCACCTTCGCCTCCCGGCATCCTCTTCACACGCTGGACTGCTTGAGAGTCCTCAACACTCTCCACTTTCATGTCTCCAGCGTCATTATTGCATTATATTACATTATTAGGGTGGGCCCTTCCCTCTGCTGAGAGCATCAGTTGGAATTCAAGGTCACTTCTAGGGAGTCTTTCCTGCCCCTCCTCCTGCCAGGATCTGCTGCCCCCTTATGTTGGTGCACAACATGGTTAGTTCAGCGGAGGTCACTGAGGACTAATCTGTCATCTACACAGCACCGGGAGTGACTGTTTAACTTTTTGTTTGCTTACTTATACTTCATTGGAGTGTCTGTTAAAAGCAAGACTGTCCAATTGTGAGCAACCAAAAAGCAGCCAGTGTGGATAAAGGAGTCACAGGCTGCCGCAGCCCATCCTCAACCTCCAGGGAAGTAATGGAAGAGGCCCAGAAAAGCAAGCTAGGGTGGCCCCCAAAGTATGAGGAATCTCTGAAAGGGAAAGGCAGCCAGGATGGGACCTACGAGGGAAGCCACACACCAGACACCCCCAGGACAACTGTAGTGTGTTGCTGCTGGGGGTGCTCCAGGCTGGGAATGGCAGAGGGTGGACCAAGGCCACAGGAGAGGTGGGCAGTAGCTCAGAACGTATTAAGGACCACAATGATCAGTTGGCAGTGACATCTACCATCACATCCGAGAATTGCATTCATGTTAGCCACATGGCCTGTGAAGAGCTCTTGGGAAACTGGGGTACCCTGGCCCTCTCTCTTGGAAGGGCATACCCAGGGGCCTGAGCAACCTCCTCCTCAGAGCCCTGAATTCCAAGAGGCCCCTCCTCCAGCACCTAGGAATAATAGACATTTATTTCATAATTCCAGTGTCCTCCCTTGGTCCCCCAGCCCTAGGAGTAGTAGCTTCCTGCAGTGGCTACATCTGTGATAATCTGGATTCTCTCTGCCTTTGGAGTTCTCTAATGCCTGGTTACCAATTCTTTATATTAGATTGTCTCTGATAAAATATCTGGGCTGGGTTTCATCTCACGATTACTCATGGAGATTTGTGTGACAATGTATAATCCTACTGTTTGCGGTTATTATGCAACTGTCTTGGAAGACAGGAGTAGTTGTTGAAAGAAATCTTTTATGTTTTCTAGACTTCAAAGACTGTTACTATTGGGCCAGCCTGTGGCTCACTCAGGAGAGTGCGGTGCTGATAACACCAAGGCCACGGGTTCGGATCCTACATAGGGATGGCCGGTTGGCTCATTGGGTGAGTGTGGTGCTGACAACACCAAGTCAAGGGTTAAGATCCCCTTACCGGTCATCTTTTTTTAAAAAAAAGAAAAAAAAAAGACTGTTACTATGTCCTGTGAAACCTCATCTATATCCTTTAATAGTTTGCAATTCTAATTAGCTACTTAATGGTTACCTGGTAATATTGGTTATATTGACTTGTTATCTGTGAGGTTACTTTGGTTACCATGATAA